GAGCGGTATTTTTAGATAGGGGAAATGATAGGGAGTTCAAATATAAAAAAATATTTTGAGGAAACGAAGCAATCAAAATTTATGGAGACTTAAAGTTAGAACATTTCCAAACATTTCTATACCTAAATAAGTCATTACAAAAGATAAACATACCTTTAACGAACAGTAAAAATCTTTTTCGTGTAAAATCCATATTTTCATAACAATTAAGGCTTAATTGTATTAATATTTTGATAATTTCACTAGAAACAATAATCTAATCAAAATAATCTAAAATTTTGACAAAACTGTCAATTTCCGTTTTATCTACCGTTCTTTCCGTTTTATCGCTTAATAATGATTAGTTAAGAGTTATGCTTATTAAAAGTGAAAAGCTTCTAAGATTATTAAGATTTGAAAATAGTCATAATATTATTTTCAATTCAAGCATGCATTTACGAGTTTTTATTTAATTTATGTAAAATATTGTGCTATAAATAATTTACATTAAGCAAAAAATTTTAAACCGTTATAATATGATTTTATTATCTGTGAATAATTTTCAGTTTTTTTGGCAGGTAGTTATAAAATATCGCGAAGTTCGATAGCTTATGTAAATACGATCTGTATTCATTAAACGTTTTCATAGTTTTTGTTAATTTTTCTATAAGTTCGTTTCTAGTTTTTTGTATTAATATTTTTAAGTGTTATTAGTGTTTTAAGTGTACTCGTGCAGTTTATAAACGTAAGTAGACTATTTTTTTAATCTGTGTGTTATTAATTTTCGATTAAGTGACAATCCGACTTGGACAACGTAGTTGAGAAGACTAAGGCTCTCTTCTCGTTAGATCTTTTTTTATTTTAAACACATAACCCCTGCTATCATATGTGCTTTATGTTAGTTTAAAATTGGACGACAGATCTGACTCATTATTTGAAGATCATTATGGCACTTGGAAGTGACATTTTGACATTTCCAAGTGTCAAATTAGCAGTAATATCATAATAATGTATGGAAATGTTGTAATTTTAAGACTCAATAACTTTTGGCTCTTTCGTTTCCTCAAAATAAATTTTATATATTTGGACTTCCTACCACCTCCCCTACCCAAAAATACCAACAGATGCTGCGTTCCATGTACTAAACTACAGCCCGAATAACCAGCTATTTTCATACCTAATTTCATCAAAATTTCTCCAGTGGTTTTCCGTGATGCGGTCACAGATAGACAGACAAACAGACAGATAGACAAACAAATATTCTAAAAACTATAGATTCGGCCTCTGTATCGATAATGATGTCTATTTCAATTAGTTTTTCCAAAAAAATATTTATTGTACAAATTCGGCTTAGTTACAATTTTATTATATGTATAGATAGAAGTAAAATGTGCGACAGTTTAAACTTGCATATAAACAATTGAAAAGGTTATTAATTGTTATAGATTCCATATAAATAGCTCAAAAATATTAATGTCTTGATTTAAAAAAAAAGAGGAGGAAATTCTAGAAAATTAAGTTGACTCTCCAATTTTCACTTTTAAAATTAATAATAAGTTTTGTTTAATGTGATATATAAATAATTTAAATTAATTTTATGTTTAAAAGAGTTTTTTAACTAATTTTTAAGTTAACCATACCTCAATACCATTTCTAAGAGATTGTTCTAAGGTTCGAGTAGTAGAGATAAATTTAAAGCGTGGGAATTCAAAGTACATAATGCTTTATAAATATTAATATCGTTAAGGGCGAATTTATTGCGAAAGCTTCTTAACTAAAGCGCCTAAACCCATTTTAGCTATGAGTATTTACGGATAGAATTTGTATGTAAAATTACTTATACTTGTCTCTTCATTTTTTTTTTATTCTACACGTACCTATATAATAAGCTTTTTTTAGGACTTCGTCAAATATGTATCAATTCACGGGTTTGATTATATGTGACAAACATTACGTATACTTATTCTAAAAACCCAAAATTATAGCTTCCTCTTACTGAAATTTGACTCTGCCTAGACAAAAAAAGGCCTCATCCTTATCTGCTTTATTCGTAGATATTAACAACGGTGTCTACCCATAAAATTACACAATAATTTGGACAAAAGACGTATAGTCATGTAGTTAGCATGTTACAAGCGTGTTAGTACCTACAATAAAAATACTTTATAGTATAACAAGTACATAATGGAATTGTAATTTTAGATAAACAATTTTTTTTCTTAGAGACATGACAAAAAAAATCTTTGGTTAATATAGGGAAAGTGAATTAATTGATTTGTAGAGCTTTTAAATAAAACTATGTTTTCGAAATCTTTCGCGGATTCATTTTCATTCCTGAAATTTCGAATGCTTTACAGCAATCATGGTTACGGGAGAGACTAAGGTTTTAGACGTCTCAAAGGTCATTATATATAGACATCGATCGTATAATAAGATAGTATTATTTAAAATATCAAATATTCGCGTATATCTTGATTAGTAGAGCTATCTATTTTCGCATTGTAAAAAAGCAATCGTTTAACGTTTCTTGGCACATACGAGTAGTTTATGGATTGAGTAAAATAGACTATTTTTATCCCGTTTTATCTCCTTATATCAAGTGAAATCCGCTGGAGAACCTAAAAAAATTATTAGGATTAGATAATCGTAATATTTTTTTTAGGTTATACTAAAATTTATTTAGATACTAGCATTGCCCGCGGCTCCGCCCGCGTTCAGATGACCAAAAAGCAAATTCTTAGGTTTTACATATCAGTATACTCTTACAATTCATTTTTTGTATATTTTCTTAGAAATGAGACATTTTCCTGCCGTAAAAAGTATCCTATATGTTGACCCGGATAACCAGCTGTCACCATACCAAACATCAAAGTCCCTCCAGTGGTTTTTTTGTGATGCGGTAACAGACAGACAGACTGACTAAAATTCAAAAAACAATAGATTTGGCCTCTGTATCGATAATAATGTCTATTTCAATAAGATTTTCTAAAAAATATTTAATGTACAGATTCGGCTTGGTTACGATTTTATTATATGTATAGATTAGGTAATACTAAGATTTAGATAAATAAATCTTAGTATTTACTAATTTAAATAAATTGGATTAACTATAAAAGCATTTTAGAAGGTTGAATTTGAAATTACCTTAACCTTATTTGTCGCTTCCTAACTTTTCCCTATAAAACTCTTCACATCCATAATTTAGTATCCGGATATTATCATTTAAGGCTTTAATGTTGGTAGCGAAAAATCCTTATTCTATCACCGTAGCACATTTTAAAGATAGGTAATATTTTTATCCACGTTAAAAGGTATTTTGTTTATTTTTCAGTTAGTTTTAACAATGTTGATATATGTACTTCTTGCCGACTGCTTGCACATACCGTAATCTATACATATAATAAAATTGTAACTGAGCCGAATCTGTTGATCTGTTGATCATCTGAACGCAGGCGGAGCCGCGGGCAACGCTAGTATCTGTATAAATCTAGTCTAAGATCTATATGCTACTTATTTAAGCTAACATAGGTTAAGTATTTTGTATTACTAACTCTTAGAATAGATAAATTGTATATGAGTTTTCGTTTCATCTTTTTTTTGTATAATTATGGTTCTTTTTGCCTGAATAAAGATTTATTATTACATACTATTATTATATATTTGTTTTTCCAATTATTATTATTATCGATCATTTATAAATTATTATTATTGATCATGGAATTATTCTATTAGATATTGCAAAATAATATTTAGGAGCGTACCCGAGTGAAGCAAGTGCGGGTCACTAGTTTAAAATAAGTATAAAACTTCACAGCTTTTGTTAAACATTTTTACGGGCAAAGTCCAAAGAAGGATCTTTTGATAAATAGCTTTTTACGTTTATCCGTCACGCTGTTCTACTTTCCAGAACTCTTAAATGAGCTGTTTTCTTTATGTTTTTGATAGCTATCCTCGTTTTTTTTCATTTTTTGTTTTGAAATTCATTAAAAGAGTATATCTCTTGATAAAAACTATTGCGTTATTAGTAATTGGAGTTTAGTTAAACTTCTTAATCAAAAAACTTAAAAAAAAAAACCGACTTCCAGGCACTTTAGGCACAAAACCCCCGTTCAGTTATTTTTTACATTTTAGTGCCTGGAAGTCGGTTTTTATTTATTTTTTAAAAAGTTTAGTGTAGACGTAATAAGCAGGTAATTTGTAAAAAGAAAGTTTTTTAATAACATATTCGATTAAACAATTTAATTAAAAAATATATTTATTGTTGATTTTTTTTAAAAACAGCTTGACCGATTTCGATAAAATTTATATGGGACCACCTGGGAACTATATCTTTTGAAACAAAAAAAAGTTTCCAAATCGGTTCTGGCGTCTTCGAGTAATCGGTGAACATACATTAAAAAAAAAATCCGACGAATTAAGAACCTCCTCCTGTTTGGAAATCGGTTAAAAATTTGAACAAATGAGTTCAATTGAATTTCCAAGCGAGCGCGTAACTACTGGGCTACACTATGGATATTACTAGATACAAAATAATAACCACCAACCCGCATTTGTTAAATTCAAATTCAATTTTTTTTTTTTTTTTTTATATTGGGACATTAACACACAGCACCATCTAGTTCCATGGTAAGCTACAAGGCTCGTGTTATGGATACCAGGTAGTTGATACACTACACATATATAACTTTAAATATATACATATTATAAATAATCATAAACACCCATGACTAGAGTACAAACATTCGTGCTCATCACAAAAATGAATGCCCCCGGCGGGACTCGAACCCGCGACCGCTGGCACAGCAAGTAGGGTCACTACGAACTGAGCCAAACAAGTCGTCAAATCAATAAAGCGAATCAATAAATCAATAAAGCGGACTAAAGCCTGATTCCGTTACCGCCTCGTTACCGTTCCGTTACGTGGGACGTTAAAAGGCTGAATTATTTTACCTAGTAAAACTTGGCCATATTTCGCGAAATAAATTATAATTTTGTAGTTTCCCTATCAATTGAAAGCTCACCTGATTTCTTGGCACTATTTCCTTTTCCACCATTTTTATTTCTCCTCGGGTAAAGATTTATTTTGCTCTGGCCACACCCCATCACAGCTTATTCCATTACACTTATCACTTTATTTTGACATTTCTAAACATTTGACACGAATCATTATACACTTTAGTTTAAAACACACTTAACACTTTATAAGATGACATTAAAACACTTCTTGATTTTAAACATTATTTATTATTTATTTTATTTCTTTTCCCTTTTTAGTTTAAGTGTAGATATTCCATGGTTGTTTCCCTGAAAAGAAAATTTCATATTAGAATAATTTGGGGGAAAGCAATTAAGCAGTGGACTCTTCATTTAGGTAGTTGCGGGGGTATATAATGAATGAATTATATATTATATACTTTATGCATTGATAATGGGGTTTTATATATAAATAAAACAAATATCCATGTTTTTCAAATATTACACAAATTATTAAATTTTCATGTATAACTTGCAATAACATAATTTAATAGATATATGTATATAATAATATTAATTTCATAAAAATATAGCAAACAAAATATAGGAACAATAAATATATAATAACGAATGAAATATGTAAAGGAATTACATGCTTTTATTTGTAACAATTAAGAGAAGCCAAGCGGATGACTTCGAATCTTAAGGAGTGTAGCAACTTCTTGATGAGAAATAAAAAAAACGAGTCATACTAAACTTTAAATGAATCCATTCAGCGTCCGGAGAACTTGGTACCCGGATAAATGTTAGTATAAAATTATCTCAATTAGGCCTATTGTTAACATTCCTCAGACGGAAAGAACTTTTTATATTAAACACAACTTCCTAGTTATAATTATTATTTTTTATTTTTATTAGAACTTATCGTTTTAATGCAACTTTTCCAAGAGCTTCTCTAGAATAACATATTAATGTAAGAACAACGACTTCTTTTCATATTTCTAGTTTTTATTATATAATTCTTATACTACGGGATTTAAACGCGTGAATTTGTTAGTGGTTATATACCTTATTCCTGATGTTTCGACTGGGTTGCACCAGCTGTGGTCACCACGTGACCACGTTCACATTTACACGTTTAATGCCCGATTTCACCAACATCACTTAAGCTACCACCTACGTATGGGATCCCTAGCTTAAAAGTTCCCCTAAACTAGCCCCTAAATTAAATTTCGTTTTACCATCGTCGGAGCCCGTATTTCTAATACCTATATTTAGGCATTTTAAGATTTAGGTGACCCCTAACTGTCGGTGAAACAGAAACTGTCCCCTAATAGCCCCCTAACCATGCTTAGGGGATCCCTTAAACTTAGGAGACGTTGGTGAAATCGGCCATAAGTCCCGTAGTATAATTATTATATAATTATACAACGCAAAAATTTAAAAAGTTATATTTTAGTTTTCATGTTTTAAATTCCATAGTATTTTTTCATCAGTAAGGGAGTACTATAAGTATTTAGAAAACTTCCAGCCCCTTTTGGAAGGAACAAAAATCATAAGCCTTAAAGTGTGCAAACAAAAGCTCTCTAGGATCTTCAAAGAGACAATGGCTACAAAAGGCTTTAAAATAAAAAATACAATAACCCGTTGATTGCACACGTCCATATAACAATTGTTCACATTTGATAGCAGCTAATACCGAGGCAGAATGCAAAGGGTTGTAAGTATCATTACGTGTGGAGTGAATTTACTTGACAATTTTTAGTTTTATTTTTTTATTAAAGCAAATTATATTGTAGTATGGGAAATTGCTTTTGCATATCTTTCGGTATTTAAGTAGAAATAATTCATTTTTAACTAATTCTTTAAAAAAAATCTAGTTTGGTATTAGAATGATTTGTGGGATAGCAACTAAGCAGTCAATTCTCCATTAGATACTGATACCACCGTAATATTACATACAGTATTCCATCTTCATACAAACGGTCGGAAATCGAGCTATACCTACGCGCGTCGCGTTCGGTATATACTCGGTATACAACCGTGCGGGGCTGCCACATCGTATAATTGGATACAAAAATTGTATAAGGTGGTTGTGTTATGTAACTTTTATAATTTAATACAAAAATAAACATTTTATTTTTATTTCTCCCGTAACTTCGCTATTGTCAAACAAAAAAGTATCGAGACATGCATCGTATGTTTTACAAATCAAAATTAATTAATTAAATTAAAAATAAAAATTAAAGTATTTTTAATTTAACTTTTTATCCGAATGTGGATTCTTTATACTATTAAATTTAACAGTAAAGCTTTTGGTACGTCTCAGTTGAGGCGCAAATATTTTTAAACACATACCACGCTTATAAATTTGAGATTTTTTAATTAAATCTACTAATAATAGTTTTTAATAAAAAATATAATATTTGAAATCACAAAATTAGAAAGAAACTCAAGTAAGTAGATGAAATTAAAATACTGGCCGACGGGCACTCGGGCAGCCCTGTCGCGTGGGTACGTGCCGCGCGGCTGTAGGTAATTATTTCAAGGACAGGGCCGAGTTGGAATACTGTATGCATTACATTACCGTGCTGATACATAAGTTCTATATAATGTAACCATCTTGTGTTGGGTACTTGTAGAAGATTTGTCGAGAAGTTCAAATCAATTGAAATCAAAATATACTTTATTATAATAGAGTTACAAGCACTTTTGAATCGTCACTTTTTACATTAATTAAATGTCAGTATGTAAGTTCTCGGTCGGTATTTACCACCGGTTTGGAAGGTAGTTCTGCTGAGAAGAATCAGCGAGAACCTTAACTTCAAGCTTTAAAGAGAATCGTAGCCATTAAGGAGTTTCACTACCAAACATTTTGGCTGATCTCAAAACTGCAAATTTTCTATTTGGGTTCATTTGATTCGTTTTGATGAGTTCTAAAGTTACCGGCGGTCTATAGCATGTTTCTTTTATTTGTGTGTTTAAAAACAATTATTAGGTGTTTATCACATACATAACAACCTGAATTATGTAATAATAATAAGTATTTATTTTAGATCAATTCATAGTAAATAGTTGCTTATATATATTGAACATAGTTCAATTTAATAACAAAGTAATAAACAGTAAAGTTAGATTAAAATATGTTGCGTTTCTTATATATTATTGTTGTATATGTTTCTATACTTATTTATACTAATATTATAAAAAAGTAAAGTTTGTGAGGTTGTAGGGGGTAATCTCTGGATCTGCTAAACCGATTTAGATGAAATTTAGTAAGAAGATAGGATGTGACGATCGGAAGGACATAGGACATAGACTTTTTATTCCGCAAAATCATCCCTTAAGGGGTGAAAATGAGGATGAAAGTTTGTATTGGGAAGCTAGGGATAAACCCGAGCGAAGCCAGGGTGAGTCGCTAGTACTTTATAAAGTTGAGAAGTTTATTAGTTGTATTTTTGAAACTACTAGTCAAAGAACTATTTAGTTTATAATATATTTTTTGAGAAAGTTTGTAAGATTTTTAGGATCATAATACAAAATCTTTTTAAGAGATATTGCATAAATAAACTAAGCGATTGGGGTGACGGTAATAAGTTAGTGCAATTTTTGAAACGTCTAGATTTTAGATCATCTACTTTATGTTAAACCCTAACACTAAATAAACGGCAAATAACACAGCCCAAACTGCTGGGACCAAAAACTTAAAATCTTATACAAAAGTTTCTTTTACCACGAAGTTGAGCACTAAGAAAAGACCATTGAAAGTTCATTCCCAGAAGGGGGCGAAAGTTTTCATGGAAACTCTTCACATTCGTGGTTACAAAAGCGGAAGTTGATGACTAAGCATCCAGTTGTATATATTACTAATAAGTATATCCCATACCTTAGGAATTACTGATTGTATATAAATTATAAGATTTTTGTTTTTGCTTTTTGGCTATGGGTCTTTAAAAAGCGCTATTTTTTATGTTGGGACATTAACACACAGCACCATCTAGTTCCATGGTAAGCTACGAGGCTTGTGTTATGGATACCAGATAGTTGATAGACAAACTACATATATAAATTTAAATACATATGCTCATCACACAAATGAATGCCCTGGGGACTCGAACCCGCGACTGCTGGCACAGCGAGTAGGGTCACTAGAAACTGAACCAAACGTGTCGTCGTGTACGAATAAATAATAAGTCTATTTATTCGTAGGTCGTCGTAATAAAGTAGTAAAATCTATCCAGCTATTTTTAAATGTTGTGCGATTAAAAAAACAGTTATAATAGGTAATGAAAAATATCTTAATTTAATTCATCAAAACATTATTTTTATATTAGCATTGCCCGCGGCTCCGCCCGCGTTCAGATGACCAAAAACCAAATTCTTAGGTTTTACATATTAGTATACTCTTACATTGCAGTTTTTGTATTTTTTCTCAGAAATGACACATTTTCTCGCGGTAAAAAATATCCTATATGTTGACCCGGATAATCAGCTATTACCATACCAAATTTCATCAAAATCCCTCCAGTAGTTTTTCTGTGATGCGGTAACAGACAAACAGACAAAAATTCTAAAAACTATAGATTCGGTCTCTGTATCGATAATAAAAACTATTTCAATAAGATTTTCCAAAAAATATTCAATGTACAGATTCGACTTAGTTAGATTTTATTATATGTATAGATATGTTACACACAAAAACTAAAACATTTTTTCCCTGTAGATATTGTATATATAGTGTTTTGTATCCGTTCGATACCCATAGCAAATAGAACAGATGGTAAATTTCAGTAAAACTGTAGTTCCATTGTTTTTTATTTGGCAGTTTTCGATCGTTAGCAATGAATCAGCAAATATATGTATATAGGTGCCTTTGAACTGACGTATCTATGTTCATTATTGATGGGTTAGAATAAAAGCTTTCAACGAAATCACTTAACTATTTTGTGTATTGTATGTTGATAAATTTACAAATGCCTCGTTGTTATGAATGTAATATTAAACTGTATATAATTTAATATTTAATATTAAATAAAAAAAATAAAATAAAAAAAAAAAAAATAAAAAATAAAAATAGCCTTTATTTCCTCTGACCTTTCTATATACATACAAATTTAAAGATATTTAAA